TGAAAAACTCAGAGCTTCATGTCTAATAGTCCATCTTCAATGAAATCAAAACTCCCTCCCTCAAGTGAGTTTCTAAGTCCCTACCACCATCTAGTCACTCAATAAATATTTATGGAATGCACATGAAGTGTTCAAAGACACACCAAATAGAAAAGCATCATTCTTCTGATTTAGAAGTCACAGTGGAATGACATCTCATTCAGCAAGACTCTGATGAATGGAGGTCTACTCTATGCCAGAACTATGGTAGGACTACTGGGATTTGTATGTGCTCCACCCTGACTCAGAAGCACGCCACCAGCCAGAGGAGCAGGCGTGTCTCAAAAGCAGTAGCTCAAAGCCGGACCTGTGGGCACTCCAGAGTGAGCTTTACAGATCCAGCCCTGGCTCTACCAGTAGCCAGCTGTGTGACACTGCACGCTCCCTGAACTCTCAAGGCCTTCATTTCTCACCTGCAATGCTCAATAACACCTCCTTCCAAGGGGCAGTTCTGAGGATTTAGAATTCAGGACACAAAACAGCTGTTACTGTCACTAATAGCGATATTCATTTAGATAGGAACACTGATACACCTTTGCAACTATAGGCACATAAAACAAGCCTAGCTCTCTACCCTTGATATGTAAGCCAGGAAACTATCTTTGGTATGCTCCCTCCTTTTCCAGAAATAAGGATTTTCAGGAGTGATATAAGGACACAGAGATATTTTGACCAAATGATACATTGTTCTCTGAGCAGGTAGTCACCTGGAAAAGTGGGTATAGAGGAGATGTCAGGAACTGAAATAAAGAACAAAACCTGGAAATTACAGGAACTACAGGTGTGACTATTCTCAGGTTCCAGAGCAGAGCAGAAGAAAAGAAAGGGCTGGTCCTGGCCTGGAAAGGTGCAGAATGCCACAGAGGGAAGTGACCCTTTTATTCTGGGTGAAGATCTGACAACAAGAAGGGAGCAATCCAGAATATGGCTCTGGACAGGTTAGGGAGGAGTAGTTCGGAATGGAAAGCCAGATAAGAGACGCTTAAGATGATGCAGACAAGAGAGGAAATGCACACCCTGATACAGGATGCAACTAAATGGAGGCAGTGGGCAGATGTGTGAACTGTTAGGTTCCAGCAAGTGAAAAGACAGGCACAGTGAGGGGAAATTTGAAGCCTGGATCACAAAAGAATGGTGAAGGAACAGCCATAGCTGTTTGTGTTGTCCTGAGCAGAAGTGGAAGGAGGGCATGCTAGGTCTCAACATGGATTCACAGCCTGTAAAATGTGCAATTATCAGCACCCGATATATTTGTTTGCAGCCCTAGCAACTTATGCCTCTATTTACATTTATTTATTTATTTATTTATTTATTTATTTATTTATTTAATTTTGGCCTTTTCGAGACACGGTCTACCTGTAGCTACAGCAGGCCTGGAACTCACTATATAGACCAGGTTGGCCTTGAACTCAGAGATCCACCTGCCTCTGCAGTGCTGGAGTCAGACCCAAAGCCTCCCATATGCGGCAAGTACTCTATCACTGAATGACATACCAGTCTATGCCTCTTCTAAATATTAGCAGTCTTGGACCCTTATTTCTCCTGGTGTACGCGGGAGAATCTGCTCACTTCCCCTCCCCTTCAAGGCAGTCCTCTCTCCCTCCTCAGCCTCAGCCCTAATCAGGCCAAATAGTCAAGTTACTCTACTAATGCTCCAAAGAGAAAGATTATCTCAAAGGAAGGAATCTGAAAAAGGTTTTGTCTGTTTTGATCGTTTGGTAGAGTGGTAAGAAAAGACCTGGAGAGTTGGTCAATCACCACTTATTTCCTGGTGGCTATTTAGTTAAGAGTCTGGCTCAGGTAACTTTAGGTGATAGGCTTGCAACCTACTACTATTTGAGAGTCTACCCCAGAGCCAGAGTGCAAGAGCGCAACTGAGTTCGGATTGTTCCTACGGCGTGATCTGCCTGGATGTGTGAACCAGTCTGTTACCTCTTCTATTGTTGCCTTAAAGAAACTGTGTCCCATGAGGCCAATTTTAATCTTGTTGCCCAAGACTATTCTCTCAACCTACTAAAGCCTTAACTAAGTCTAACAGCATTCTAATGGGTATTTGTCACTTTGCTCTTTCTTCTCAGTGCCACCAAGAGGAATTTATACTGTGATGTGGCACCTTCTTGACCATAGCTATGCCATGTTAAAGTTTAGGCTGACTCTAGCCTCTGAAATTATCAGGCAGTTGGCCCAGTGTATGGGAACACATGTCAGCAGGACCCCAACTGTCTTGGGAACAGGTCAGCGTGTCCTGTAGTGCACCTGCTAACTGCAGATGTATGGTTTCTGTAGGTAAAGTTTGGCTTGCTTCTGCAAAATAGAAATAGTTAAGGGGGTTTTCCACCTGTAAGCTTGAGAACTTAAACTTTTCACCCCTGGTTATGGTTTCTCTGAATAAAAGCTTACCCTAGAGAGGGCTCGGGGCTGCACTTGGGTTCCGACACCCTTGAGTAGTCGCTGGGCAGCTAAAAAACTTATGTTTGGCAAAACTTTGAGTGGTCTTCTCTGGTGAAGCACCCCACACTAATACAATTAACCTTTAAAACTCTGGAATCAGTGAGATGGTTTGGTGGATAAAGGCACTTGCTAAACCTGATAACTTGAGCTCAATCCCTGGGACCCGTATGGTAGAGGGAGAGAAGTGACTCCCACAACTGTCCTTTGACCTCTACATGTACCATGGCCATGTGTATGCACACATGCACGCATGCACACACATATGAATAAATGTAATTAAAAAAAACAAACAAACAAACAAAAAAAACCCAACTTGAATCCTAGAGATTCTGATTCCTATGCAAGGCAGGTTCCCTATAGGGAGACTTATAATCTTGCTTTTAAAAAAGAACCTAAAAAACCCTAAAAATTGCTGAGTTAATGGACAGCCTGGTTTACATAGTGAGTTCCAGGCCAGGAGCTCCAGGGGAGACCCTGTCTCAAAAAAAAAAAAAAAAAAAAAAAAAACCCTAAATTTAAAATGTTGCTGGGAGTGGTGGTATTCATCTACAATTCCTAGCACCCAAGAAGGCAGAGGCAAGAGAATCAATAAGTCCAAGACCAACCTGGCCTACATAGTGAGTTCAAAGCCAGCCTGGTCTACTAAGACCCTACCCTCAAAAAAAAAGGGGGGGGGGGACAAAAACAAAGGAATGTGCTAAAGTGGTAGAACATTAGCCCAGCATGTGCAAGGCCCTGGGTTCTAGCCCTGTATATTACAAAACAAAAAACACTAAGATGTTCCACTAGAGATATTACTCAGCAGTAAAGCACTTACCTAGCTAGCATGTGTATGCCCCTGTTCAATCCCTGGCACAGGAAAAAAAGGAAGGAGGGAAAACACATTTGTACAAACTCCTTTAAGAAATCACCTATGCCTAAGGCATGTCCTTCCGGAGTTCTCGCTCCCTCATCTTCTATAATATACCCGGTGTGGGAAACAACTTGTTCAAATTCACAAACCTTGAAACTTGCAATTTTACCTGTTGTTTCTCTTCTTCTATTTCTTAGCACTCAGTAAAAACCAAAAAGCAAAACCAGTAACAACAAAAACAGAATGGTAAGTTTACATAAGCAATAGACATACAATAAATGGTAAGTATGTGCAGGTGGTGTGGCTTTCATTCATGTCTCTGTACCTCACCAAAAGCCTGAAATTAACGGGTCGGGTCATACGGTTTTAAAAAAAGCCAGAGCATGTCAATAGTGTCAGTTCCAAAGCTTATGAAAAGTGATTGTTTTTACTCACAGAGGTTAAAATCAAGAGAATGAATAGGATTGCATAAAAACCAAATGCCTACCTAGATAACTCTGCAATGTAAATTTACAACACTGGTGAAGAGGAAAGGAGATGGGAAGAAATGTTAATAGACCTTTGAGCCATATTACTTAACAAACTGAAGGTCTAAGTAACACAATTACTTTAAAGGCAAAAAAGCCTTTTCATCTCCTTTAATTATTTGCCATACATTGGCCGTTTGTCTTTGAAGCCTAGTTCCATTTCCTGTACTCCTTCTTCTTGTGGAATCAAGAAAAGACAGTAAATGAAAGTGCAAATAGTAGCCTTTCTAAGGTCACATACATCTAAATCTTTTTCTTTTTTCTTTCTTTCTTTTTTTTTTTTTTTTTTTTTTTGGTTTTTTTTAAACAAGGTCTCCCTAACTGGCCTGGAACTCAATACTTAGACCAGGCTGGCCTTGAACTCAGATTCACCTGCCTCTGCCTCCCAAGTGCTGGGACTATAGGCGTGTGCCACCACACGCACCATAAATCTATTTTTACATTTAACAGGCCTCAGGTTTTTACTTCTAATAAAGCAATGTTCAAGCATGTGTTACAGTTTTTAAAAATCACAGTGGTGGACGAAGTGGCTCAATGAGTAAACATACTTGCTGCCAAGCATGAGGACTTGCGTTGGATCCCCAGGATGTACATGGGATAAAGAAAGAGATTTCTCCAAGTTGCCCTCAGACCTCCACATGCCAAATGGTCCCTCATCTGGTTAAATGCACATTTTTGTAATTCTGCAGGCTGTGACCCACACACCCTAACAGGAAGGATGAGGGAAGTCTGTCACACTTGCCAACTAGGGGTAGATTTCCTTGCCTTTCCATCCACCCAACTGATAACTCTGAGCTAGGAAAGAAATGCCTGATGGGAAGAGAACTCCGCGCAAGGGATTCCGGGCTGCCCCTCAGAGCCTGGGTTTCTGTTAATGCCAACCCCTCAGAAAATTAAGAAGAAGACGAAGTGCGTGCTGGATGATAAGAAAGCATTCCGTGTGTCCCCCTGACAACACACCCTGCCGCTGAGGACCGCGCTTACAGTAAGCGGGAGACTCTCAAATGTCACTGTAAAAGGAGGCACTGCCTTAGCCCTGCCTCCGGGCTCAGGCATCTGTTCAACTCGAGCACGTACGCGTGGACCTGGCGGGGGCTGGCGGTCCCGGGGCGCGGGCGCGTGGCTCCTACCTTCAGTGCTGGACCATGGCCGCCCTCCGCCGGCCGCCCGGGGGGCGCTGGGGTCCCAGCTCGCTGCCTCGCTCCTCCCGCCGCCGGCCCGCCGCCCTCTGTGGCACAAAGACGCGGCTGTGAGCCTTCCGCAGGGCGGGGCTTCCGGCTGAACCGCGCGCCCTCGGGTCGCCGCAGCCCGCCACGCCGGAGCGGTGAGGACTCGTTCCCAGGAGACCCAGGCTCAAGCCCAGCCAGGATCCCTGAACCCACCACTTGCTTTTCCAGGAAAGCCAGAATTCAGAGAAGCTTAAAATGAGCATCTTAAAACTCAGCAATCTCGGGGCCGGGGGTCACATTAACGCTAATACCTCTCACTTTGAGCTGGCTTTGAACTCTGCACAGAGGCGGAAATCCGACTCCCAGCGCTTCCTAGAAATCTGGAAGCTGGGGGGAAATGAAGAGCACTGTTGGGTGCTTTTTAAGGGACGCTGAAAGCAGTTCAGCCACACTCAGAATGAGACCAGGAACTGACAGTCCATTTCACAAAAAGGTGAAGTTGGTCAAGTCAGAGACCCTAGAGCTACACTGACATCTGTCCATTCACGGGAGGGAATTAAAAAAAAAAATCACAACGGCACTTAAAAGTAGAGCTGTTAATAGTAACAGCCAACAGGCCTTCAGTGCTTTGCTCATATTGACATTTAGTACAACTTTAGAAGTATTACCAGGTCCACTTCACAGGTAGGGCAACAGACACAAATGAGTCAAGTTGCCCAAGTCCGAGTAGCCCGGCAGCATCTGAGGCAAGGTTCAACTCCAGCAGGGGTCTAGGTTCTTAAGCACTGCCTCCCCCAGTAAGGAAGCGACAGCTGGGTTGGGTTCAGTCTCAGCTGCCCCAGTTAATAGCCTGGCAAGATGGGCAAGCCACTGGAAAACATGGGCATTACGTATGCGCTGACCATTTGTCAGGGTTTCTTAGGACTTAATGGTGTGGAGATGCCTGCAAAGGCGCGCTGGGGTTATTTAATGTTATCACGCCTCTGTCAATTTACTTGTCCAGGTGTAATTACATCTCAAGATGCATGCTTCTAGAATCGATGCCCATTTTCTCGCGGAGCCTGCAAGCCACCAGCCGCCAAGGGCCAGACTCAAGCCCCCATATGCTGAAGCTTGCTGACCCAGGCCACCCTCTGCTCCTAGTCGAGAAGCTCGCCCTCGCCGCCGTGCAGGAGCCCCAGCCCTCTCAGGCACCGCCGTGACGGCCCGCCCGCCCCGCAGCGCGGCCGAAGCACCGCCCAGCGCGACGCTCCTCCGCCCGGCACCGACAATCCTGGCACCTCCAGCAAGCCCGCATCCCAGGCACCGTCCGCTGACAGCAGGCTTACCAGAGGATGAAGACACCTGCACTGCACTCCTCACGGCAGCGGCACCTCCCGCGCGGGTGCAAGGCCAGACTGAAGCGAGCCAGAGGGCTGCGGGTTCCTAGTGGCCGCGAGAAGCCACGCCCAGCGGGCGGGCGAACTGCCAGTGTCAGAATGACAAAGCAAAAATCCAGTCCTCGTGCAGCCCTGGCAGCCTGCGCAGGTCGGCTTGTAAAAGGGATGGCTCCTAATTGGACGGCACCACATCCTGCCTTGCTCAGGACCGCCCCCAACCCAAGGCTGCCGCGGAAGCAAATCAAAGAATGTTGGGAACCAGAACCAAAGTAAGAGTGAGCCTCAAGTGACTGAGCTGCCTCTGCGTGGGCACCTCTGTCTCCATAACTTTGTTAGCCTTTAGAGTCACGTGGGGGTCTTTAGCCCTACTGACACCCAGATGCTCTGACACCTTGGTTACGGGTGTGACCTGCCTGGACACCGAGGTTTGAAAAACTCCAAAAGTGATTCTAATTGACAGCAGTCAGGGACCCACTGCCCTAAAGCTATGGATTAGTCAGTTTGGTAATTCCCTAAAGGAAGTTATCTGGCTTTTTAAAGCCGTGTCTACTTCATCCTGACTAATCCTTTAGAGAAGTGACTAAATCCCCATAGTGTACTTCCTCCTTATCCCAATCAGACTTTGGGTTGCTTTGTTTACTTCAAGGAAAGCTGAGAGGATATTTATCTCCTAGGGCACCAAGCCACCTGCTTCTACTAAAGAAGGAGTGCTCTCTGTGCCTCCCTGCTCCCAGGTCACTAGGAATACTTGGTGGATGAATGAATGAGTGAATGAAGTATCTGATCCACTACTTTGGTTAATGCCAGAGCTACAGAAAACTAGATGAAAGGGATGTTGGCTCCTCACAGCTAGAAGCCACACCTCCTGATAAGTGCTGGCTTCCATACCCCTTCTAGGCACTTCCAAGGTACAGGTCAGAAACTTGTATCAGCCTCTTGCCTAATGCACACACACTGCACAGGCTGACCCCACATACGTCTCCCACACTTTCCCAGCCCACTCCTCATATACACGGTATTTATATAGTGTCCAGCCTGATTCTGAGGTGTCTGGATTAGAACACCAGAGGGCTTAGCTCCTACAAGTTCAGGAATAATGTGGTTAAGGACCAAAGAATGGACAATTCCAGGAAAAGCAAGCTGGGCCCCCAGGATAATTGACATCATTTACCAGAGTCCTGGCTCCTCCTGAGCCAAGCTGGCCATTAACCGTTTTCTCATTGAAGGTCATAAATGCCTCAATCTTTAGAACACATAGAAAGTGAAAGTTATTTTAAGGGCATGTTTTTTCATAGACTTTTAAATCATTTAACTTGGGAATAACACACAATACTAGCGATGAAGGATGTTTCCAAGAGTTTGACACAGCATCTTGTATGAACAGGTCAGAGTGATCACAGCTGAGATTTTTCAAACAGCATATGAGTAAAGGCTAGATAAGGCATTTCAACTTCCCACTGTTCTTAAGCAGATTAGAGCACAGATCACCAGAATAGCTTCCCCTCATTGGGGAGTTACAGAAGGCTCTATTCTAGTCCTTTTTAAAAGTTGTTGGTGAAGTGTAGCGGAGCCTCACTTTCTACCACTTCTTATATAGCAATTGTTCTAATTCAACACCTAAGATTACGTTCCTGAAAGCCTAGGCCTTCAAAGCTCATTGGAAATGTCACCTCCTAGAGGGAGAGGGGGGCTTCCCTCATTCCCACCCCGTGTTAATTATCCCTTCCCTCTTTTGTGTCCCTAAATCCTACTAATAACTCACATCTGAATCTATCAACACTTTGGAAAAGTAAAACTTTGTTAGATTTATCTTGTCTCCCCAGAAAGTAGTACTCAGAAACTGCTGGAAAACCCTGTGTTAACTGCTGCCATCTCAACTAAAACAGATCTATGCAGGGATTTGTTTGAGGGTCCTAATGTATTCAACTATTGTTCTACCTGTAATATGTCCACATACAGAGTGCACTGAGCTAGAATAATCTGACAATCAAATCTCTCTTAAGACTTTCAGCTTTCTAGGCCCTAGAGATCAAGTCCAGACTGCGCAGTGGTATCAACAAGGCAAGGCCCACCCTTATTAATGCTATGTGTACACATATTGTGTACCTTATTTAGGCAGCAAAACATTCTTGGAGAAGCACACAGGAAGTAAAAGTAATTTTGACTTAAGGCTAAGACCACAAACCTCAAATCTGTCCTCAGCCCTTCCCAGCAATCATTTACACCCTGCCTTATTGTCCCACCTTGCAAAATGACTTTCATGTTTATTCTTCTTTTCTCAGATTTCTAATAGCCCTACTACATCTTACCCTTGGCTCAATGCCTTGTTTCTACTTTAAAGAAATAGTATCAATCAGACAGAATTTCCCAGTATTTCCCCATGGCCACCCAACTACTGAATTCTTTGCCTTCACTCCGATAGAATAAAAGAAAGTTCTCCTCCTATGTGTGAGCTCTCATCTTTTTTTGCCTTCTTGGTTTAAGAACTTCATCCTGGATGTAGTCCCCTCTGTCATCATCAAATTCTTATTCCAGACCAGATGGTTTCCATTGTCATACAAACGCACTGTACTTTAGTCATTTCACAGAAGCCTCCTGTCACCCCCTTAAGCCCATCCATCATTGCTTCCCTTCACAAGGGGATGGGAGTGGGGTGGGTGTTGAAAGAGTTCTTTGCATCCTGAAGAATAATGAACTAGAGTAGGGAGGTAGGACAAAAAAATCTAAGAATATGACACTTGGGCTGAGATCAGAGGAAACTGAAGGAGCAAGCCAGGAGAACACCTATAGAAGAAACCCCTCTGATCAGAGGCGACTGGAAGTAATGAGGCTCCAAGATGAAGACCTGCTTTACTTATCCAAGGATCAGCCAGGGAGCCAGGAAGAAAGGGGTATGTAGCGAAAACTTCGAGTGGAGGCACAGAAACCAATAAGAAATCTGCTGTGCTGTCTAAGCCAGAAGCAAGAAAGGCTTTGATTAGTGATGTAAGAAGATAAATTTGAAGGTAAACATAGTAATGTTTGCAGATGGGTGAAATAAAAGATGGAAAAGAGAAGAATCAATGATCATTCTAGACTTTTGGTTTGGCAAGTAGGTGAATGGTGGCATCCTTCTTAGGAGCAGGGCACTAAAGGAGGAGGAGACAAATGGTAGTTTGGTACAAATCCAGTGTCTGGCTTGAGAGGTCTATTATCTAAATGGAGATGTCAGGTAGACAGTTGGACAAAAATTAGAGAGAAATTACAAAGTCCACTATAAAAGACATTTAATCCTACATGTATTAGAGTTTTCCAGGAAAACAGAATCAGTAGAATGTCTAAGTGTAAGGGGGAGGCAGGGTTAAAAAATTAATGGGCTAACAGGGTGCAGTGGTACACATGCCTATAATCCCAGCACTTGGGAGGTGAAGGCAGAAGGATCAGGAGTTCAAATTCATCCTCAGCTACATAGGGAGGTTGAAGGTAGCCAGGACTGTATGAGACCATCTCACAACAAAACCAAAAAAATTGGCTCAATGATTTTGAAGTCCTACAAGTGTACAGGCTGGAAATTCAAGCAGCACTCTGGAGGCAGGATTGCTTCCTCTTCAGTGGACCTTGGGCTTTTCTCTTAGGGCCTTGAAGTAGCTGGGTAAAGCCCACACACATTATGGAAGGTAATCCTCTTTACTTTGAATCTACTGATTTCAGTGTTAATTACACTTTAAAAATACTTTCACAGCAACATCAAGTGTTTAACCAAATAAGTGGGTGACCACAGTTTAGCTAAGTTGACATACAAAATTAATTCTCACACTATGGTACTAGATGAAATCATCCAAGGAGTTAGTGTATTTAGGGAAATGAAGATGGCTCAGGACAGAGGCCTGAACACCCAATAAAGGATCCAGCAACAGAGAAGACACTGAAGGGAGGCGGGAGGAAAGTCAAGACAGCGTGGTGTCTCAGAAGTCAATAAAAAGTGCTCTACACAGGAGGAAGATCAACTAGAGCCACTGCTGCTGAGAAATCTTGTGGTTGGGGCTAGAGAGATGGCTCAGTGGTTCAGAGCACTCGCTGCTCTTGCAGGAGACCTGGGTTCGATTCCCAGCACATACATGATAGCTAACACCCATCTACAACTTCAGTTCCAGGGGATCTGACACCCTTTTCTGGCTACTTTGGGCATTGCACCACACAGGTGCACTTACACACATGCACATAAAACACTCATACACATAAAATAAATTAAAAACTCATATTGAAAAATCCTGTGAGATAAAGATGAAGTTATGGGGGTCACTGATGATTTTTTATGAAAATGAGGAGGGGAAAGAAATTCCAATCAGAGAGAATTCAACACAAAACATAGATAAGGAAATGAAGGTAGTAAGAAGAGCCAGCTCTTTCAAGGAGCTTCACTATTTAAAACAACAAAGCACAAAATGGAACTTGAAGAAGGCTGTAGGATGGAGACAACAAAGTTTAGGAGGTTTTTGTTTGGTTTTTGCATTTTTGTTCTTCTATGAAGGAACTCATTATATTATTATATTACTATACTATAGTGATTGTCCTATTGACATTGTCCCTATTGAGGGAATAATCCAGAGGGGAAAGTGACCAGTCCCAGACAGGAGAGGGGGAGAAGATATCACTGCAGAACGAATCTCTTGTGAACATACATTTGTTACACAATGGAGACTCTGAAGTAGAACCCAGGCTTTATCACTACCTAGAGAGTCAAGTCACTCAGCCTCTCAGCTTCTTTATCTCCTTTCCACAGGCCCTCTGTGGTCCTTCCACTTCTTCATCTCACCCAAACCTCCCTTTAACCCCAGTCATTAGCCTTCCGTCCTCCCTTTAATTACTGTGCTCCATCACCACAGGGCTTTGCTAACTCCCAGGCTCACTGCAAATCCAGTTTAAACATGTATCTCCTTGAGGGAACTATCAAAGAAACCAAGTCCTATGAAACATCCTCACATAGCAGTGTACTCTTTCTGTTTATACTTACCATAGTTGTAATTATAGTCTTATTTATAATTATTTTATCACTGTTAACCTCCCCCCTCTAGAACAGCACAGTCCAATAGAACTTTCTGCTAT